TCGGCTTCGTTCATCGCTTCAACCTTCACCGGACATTCCCGACTTGTAGGGCGATGCCCTTCACCACAATTGGCGCACTTGACTGGTATCGCTTGCCCCTTCGTCGACGGACACTCCCAGGTCGGGTGTCCGTTGGCGCAGTGACCGCATTTGAAGAAGTTGGAACAGTGTGACTGGATATGCCCCGGCTTTTGGCATTTTCTGCATAGCTTTATCCGCCCCTCACGACAGAATCGCGATGTATTGTGAATTTGCTTCCCCCACACGACTCCCGAGATGATCGCGCGATTAGCCACGACTGGGCTGGTGAACTCGATCAGGATGGAGCCCTCCGCCCTCTCCCCCGGACGGGTCAGCCATCCTAGATACTGGATCTTAGCGCCTTCGCCCCAATTGTTCTGCGCGAGCAGCTCAGCCGCAACGTCGGCCATCGTCTCCGGAGTAACCTTCATCGATTTCACGGGGATATGGTACGCCACCACTCCCCAGGACGGTTCTTGGATCACCGAGCCTGGTCCAAAGGCTCTCAGCCACGCAGCATGTTTGCGGAGGACCTCTGCCCCCGCAGCACTGCTGGCGATCATTGCCACATCCCCCGACGGCAATTTTCGAGCAGCGACAAATGAAGCCTGTCCGGCCAGTACCCCTGAATTCTTCTGACGGGCATTTGATACCCTCTGTCGTTCAGCCCTCTCGACCAAATCTTTTGGTGTTAATCCACGGACTTGCTCGCGGTTCGTTCCGACCTTGACGATGACCTCTCGGTCCTCGCGAAGTTCGATTTCCGGTACTCCTAGAGACGATGTGCCGCCGCTCCGGGTGATAGGAGCCGCAGCCGTAGCCAAGTCGCGCTGCCATTCTTTGGCCCGGAAGTTGCGCCACGCTGCTGCAGAGTTCGCCGCGGGGGTAGATAGTGCCGTCGATAATGTGTTCGTTGTCTTTTCAATAGTATTAATTCGCTGGTTCAGGCGTTCGGTGCCGGCGTTGATCTTGGTCAGCGCCTCAAGCACCTTGGCCATCCCCTGACCGTCTCCCCGTTGGGCGTTTAGTGCGTACTGGCGGACGGCACGAATATATCCAGTGACGTACCGGTCCTCTGTGCCATTGTTCTCGATGTGGTTAAGCACCCGGCGGGCCCCTTCCGCGATGTCGTCCATGGATCGGGGCGGATCCGCGAGGGCCGTGGTTTTTGGCGTTCCTCTCCTGTCAGGGGGCAAAATCTGTGCGTTCGCACCCGTCCCAACCATCGCTGCCATCTCCCCTATGAAAAGGGTATCAGGCCGTAGCGCTTGAGGTTACGATTACGATGAACTAATTCACGAGGCCGTGAGACCTCTGATTGGCTAGATATTTCAAGAAAACGTTTTTGCCAAGAAAGAGTTGTCCCAAGTGAGATCTACGTGGCCAGATACTGCCGACGAAGCCAAAATCTCGCCACAGGCTACCACACCACCTGCAGAGAGGCGTTCTCAAAGACCACGAAAAACATCATATGCCGATATACTTGCACAGTCAAAATACGATAGTTGACTAACATTACTGGGTTTCCTATTTTCCAAGATGTTGTGGTTATTAGTCAGATGATTTCTATCTCCTCATTGGTCAATGTTCCCTTGCCTTCCAAGTACTAGTCAAGCAAACCAATATGACTCTAACTTCTTGTACCTGCCTTTCCTTTTTGATCGTTTCAGGGCATTAGCGTGCGAAGCGCGCGTCACCAGTATTTTTGCACTTCTTGCCCTAGACCTGGGGGGCTGTCCAAGGTATTAGCAACTGCACGTGACATAAAGGGGTTGAAAAGGCAGTAGTGTTTGGCCTGCCGATCTTCGTCACCCGCTGTACCCCAGTATATGGTGGCACTGATACGGCATGCATTGGTGATACGCGATACTAACCGAATTCGGATGGGAGGCGGCCTGCCCGACAACTCCTCAAACCACCCCGCGGGCCGTGTGGTTCCATCTTGCGGCCTATTGATGGATAGGGTCTGGTGCTTTCGAGAGAAAGGAGATTATGTTGTTGGACCTAGATAGTTGTGAGAGACACGCTCGTACTATTGATGTCTAGGGTACGCGCTAGGTAAATTTGGGAAGCGATCGACAAGAGCGCTTACGGAGCTAGGAGAAGGTTCTTTTCTCATCGTCGATTGCCGCTGGGACCGCGTCAGTTGGAGCTATTGAGCCTACTCGTGACATAGCGGGATATTGCAAAGACTTTAGCTAGGAAGAAGAATTCAGTCGACGACGCGATTTGGCAAATGGAGGCTAAAATCAGAATAAGAGCGAGGTAGCCTCTGGTTCAAGATACTGCGCAGGATGCCAGTCAGGTGAAACCGTGTCTCGGTTGGGGCTAATCGCTCGGATAAGCTTTGGGACTCACTATCTTCCCGGTAGTCACGAACTGAGAAATCGATCTGTCCCGATTATACAAGCACATAATCGGACCCTCACCGCCCAAGGTAGCAACAAGCTTTTTTAAAGATGAAGATAGCTCAGGTTGTTAAACGTCGGAAGCGGACGGAAGAGTTCATTTAGTCATGGGCAGACCTGTCTCTGACCGCTAGTGCTAGAGACGGGTATAAAGACCCTCTCGCCATTCACCTAACATTTCTTGCCCTTCATACATTACACTTTTAGTATACAATTCTGCGACCAGACACTAGTTGTGAACGTCTTTTCAGATTTCTTCTGGTGAACTCCTTTTTCCTCGACAACACAACATCAAAATGGTCTCAATCAAGATTTCCTGTGCAACTGTCTTCGCCGTACTTGTTGCCCTAGTCCAATCCTCTCCCACTATCGTCTCTGCGGTTCTAGATGAACGCCAGTGCCTTGATTGTGGTTATGCTGGACCCGTATGTTATTAACCTTCCTATAGCCGAATGTTTTGTATTTCATCCTTTGCTGACGTTACATTTAGTGCTGCACTGCATGCAATTGGATCTGTCAAGATCCGAATAACTCAGACACTTGCGCATATGGCTGCAGTGTGGATGCGTGATTGGATTCATGGATAACGCCTAAGCCTCGCCGTGGCCCTTGGCTCGTCCACAGGCAGCCCGGCCCGGCTTGGACAGCACCCAGGTCGCCCGCCCACAGTTTTTTTTGGGCTTGCCCCTTTTTGGCTTCCTCGGCATAATTAGGAATTCAGGATGAATAGATCGCTAATTCTGCTTGATATACTCCTTTTTTATATTTGTTTCGCTTAGACGTTGACACGGCTCGCCAATACCACCCGGATACTCTGTACCTGCTTTCCATATGGTTTTGTATGGTAAGAAGGGCCGGTTCGGGATATCGGCGTCGTAACACGCCCGACTAGCCCCGAAGGCTATGAGACGCCTTCAACAGCGACCTGGTAATTAATTCTTCAATAAAATCGTTTAATTGGCTCCTTCAGTACTAGCATGTACGAGAATCCTTCGACCTGCTAGAATCCACTAATTGCATGCTCTAAAAACAACGCTAAATGTGCCCCCCGAGCGGACGAGGGATAGGTGACAAAAAACACATGGGAAACAGCAAGGATTATGAAGAGAGCATGGAAAAGCCAAATTAACAAAGTTGATTGAGCAGTCTATTAGTAAGAAGAGACAATGGCGGCCATGGGGAAAGAAGGAGGGAAAGATCTGATAGGACCAGAAGGGCTTGTAAAAGGCCCGAAACTGGTTGTGACTGTGATTACCTTCAGGCACACGTACAAAAGAGAAAAGCAGAAAATGATAAATGGGAAAAAACCTCTCTGCAATGATTAACGAAAGGCTGGAAAGCGACTAGACGTCATTGAATCCAGGTCGAACAAGACGGAGAACACACAAGATCAGTAGGGTGGCTGGCCATGCCTGGTATTAGAAAACCTTGCAGTTAGTCAACCAAACCCATTTTGAAATTCCTCAACATGGTGGCTGATTTAATTGCCAGAGAAGCCATCCTTCAGATTAACATATGTGCTGGTGGGATAGTTCAAGTTGTTAAGAGACTGATCCAAAGAGCCAGCGCCTCCAAACAGAGAGACAGTGGTGCCGATGAGACTCAGAGTATCGTTTCGGTCCATGCTAACTTCCCACCAGGCGGTGCCAGCAAGACCCAAACACTGAACATACTCAGCCTTCAGGGCAGCTATCTCAGGAGTATCATAGCTAACCAGGTATTTCTGCTTGGCGTCGTAGCTGTAGCTTCCACCAACACGAGGAATGTTGACAACCTTAGCGTTGAATCCTGGTAGGGGAAGTGCGTTGTAATTCCAAAGCCCTGCGGTACCAAGACTGCCCTGTGTGCCGCCATTGGAGAACTTATCCCCCACGCCATTAGTGCCATTGAAGACACGACCGTACAGCGGGTTCTCCAAAACGAGCTTGTTGGGTGGAACATGACCGTTAAACATGTAAAACTCAAGGCTCGAGTTTGTATCATAATCAGTTGCACGTGGATTGCGGACATCCGGGAACAAGTTTGACAAGTAGCCAGAGTAATTGCTGAATCCGGGTCCCATGTAGTCCAAAGCCATAACAGTGTAGAAATCGAGATACGGGGTCATGCTAGTGAGGTCTAACATGACAGCCTTGTCCTTGTCCGCTGGAGAGGCATAGCTGATCTGGAATGGGGATGTAGCGGCGGTCTTCTCCGCTAATTGGTCCAGACTCTGGCGCAGACGCTTGAGCAAATCCACCATCTGAGCCGCTTGACTGTGATCTGCGACGTACTCATAGTCGATATCAATTCCATCGAAGCCGAGATCTGCGACAAATTGGACGGCCGTATCAACAAAATTCTGCCGCTTGGTGCTAGATACAAGCATAGGGGGAAATTCTCGCGGTAGCTCCAGCCACCGATGGAGAGCATAGTTTTGAGATGGCGGTGCTTCTTCTTCAACAGGAACATCTGCTTGATATTCCCATATACATTCTCTCCCGGTGTAGTGGTATTATCTCCAGGGTACGCATACTGGAGATCGGCCCAAGTGTCACTCAATATACTATGTATAACGTCTGTTAGCTAGGCCTACTCTCTAAAGACGTGGATGTGTTCATACACGCTGCCAGTAGTAGCGTTGACGTTGGCGAAAGCATAGACAAGATGGGTCAAGTTCTCTGCTGGAACATCGGTGATGAAGTATTTGGCTCCGTAGATATCCTGTATTGCGAAAGCACTATTAGCTAAAAGCTCGTCAGGGAATGAAAATTCAGCGTGAGTTCGCTCGTACCCAGTTGCCGAAGTAGGCAACGGCTTTCATCCCACCGTGGATTCCACCGCGGTTGCCGCAAGAGATTTCAAACTTGCCATCTCTATGATAATGTCTAGGCTTCTCATGCTGACCCAAGACACCGACAACAGCGACGAGAAAAGTGGAAAGGGAGCTGAGACGCATTTTGCAACAGTGATGTTCTAGGCGAGGTCTTCGGTTTGAAATGATCAGTTCAAGGAATGACTAAGGTAAGTATACAGGAACAAGGAATGAGTGGACGGTTCAACAAAAGTAACCGGGCGATACTGTCCTCGAAACTGGTGCAAATGCGACCCTTTCATAATTTAGTGAATATGGGGTTTCTTAAGATTACAGTCAACCTTGTATGCAATTCCCCTGTTGGATCCGGCAAAAGAAACACAGGTAGCAGCCATCGGACGCCCCGAAAGGCTCGATTCATCTTAAATAAAGTTCAGGAGCAAAGGTAAGCCCGGTTGACGCACCACTGGAGCTCCATGAAAGTGCGGAGCTAATTAGAGCAGATGATTTATCCAGCCGAAATTTCTCCATCGGCATAACATTGAGTTCTAGAGGAACTTCGGGTGGATATATGGGAATAAATTACTTCAGTTTTAGGTAACGGATCCGCAGATCTTGCGACCAAGACCAATGGGTGGCGCGATGAAAAATGAGGAAACGCAGATAAGGTATCTCTCTTACTTTTCGGTACGGAGAGACCTTTTGTGTGCCTTACTAGTCACCGCGTACGTACTCCGTAACCGTAAGCAAAATTGCCAAGAAGCCAACAGGTCCTACACACCTTATTCAAAATGCTCGCCATTCTATTGGCCGGCTATGGGCCTTTGATTCGAGTCGGAATGATGGCTAGTAAGCACGCGCCCCCACAGTTGTGGAGTAGCATCTGTACCTTGTGGTAGAAGTTTATTCATCGAGCGCTATACACCACAAGCAGCGCCACAATCCATGAGCGTAAGCCCCGACTCAGTTCATACCACCTCCGTACTCTGTCGGTATTATTCGAGTCTAGGATTGTCCTAGAACCTCGGGTTCCTTTTCCGCGCCCACTGCATTATCTACGGAGTGCCCAATTTTCCGACACTTAAGTAGAAGTCATCTGAGGGGTTGTCTCATTTATTAATACCCTACTGTTGCTATGACTTTCGCTAAAAGTATCTTTGTCTATCTTCCTCGTAGCTGTAGTGGAGCATTTACCAGCTACTTCCGGGTAGTTGCATCCAGTTGACAGCTGTTCTGTCTCTGCACTTGCCTGTGTTGTGATATGAGGCTGGTGCAGATCAGGAACCATGCCGAACCATCGGAATTAATCCCGAAGTATGTATACGAAGAACCAAGTTGATTTGGAAATCCTTCTCGTTATAGCCTCCCTCATGTTTCCCTCTGGATAAATGAAAATCCATCTTCCTTGGAACTACAACAAGACCAAGTGGCTCTTAAGAATTCTTAAGACTGCAAGCAGGTACAAAATAACGGCCCACTTCATCTTCGTGGTTTTTCGCGTTGAAAAGGCGCGCTGCGCTCCAGAAACAGTGGTGTTTAGAGTTCATGGCCAAACACGGCCAGAGGCGATCGAGAAATCCGCGTTCCAGAAACCGCGGGTTTTCGAGTTCACGACCAGCAGAACTCCGAAACGGTCACTCTACCAGGGGATGAACTTAAAATGTGCTTAACAAATTTATTGCCACGCCCATTTTGACGCCTGGCATGGAAGGGAGGGAGCTTGGTTCTTTCAAACAATTAATGGTGTCCGAGGAACGCATCAAGTCTTGGTCTGTTATGACAGGGAATTTCTGATTTTGAGGGCCAACAGAAAAAATGAATGTCTGCTTTGGGAAATTTGCCAAATGCACAGCGTAGCTAGCCTGAGCTTCTGGCCTCTAAAACTTTTTTATTTTCCTATTTTATTTTCACAGAATAATAAGCAAGGAACCTAGGACAGGAAGGGGACTTGAATTGGAGGCCTTAGGAATATGGCAAGAAAATGGGCACAGCTTGGTTGTCCAAGAGGATATCGTCCTTGACGGGCAGGTTGAAGTAACTTCTGCAACTGGGGGGTGCCTGGGTATTAGGAGATGCGCGTGATTTAGAGTGGAGACTGTTGTCTAGCCAATCTTGTTCAATGAATACCCTACTTCTTTCACTTTTGTTTACAGTACTGTAACAAGAAAATGAATGATCCGTTCATTTATTATTTTCGACCATCAACAACCATTTAATCACCAGCTGCAAGATTGCTTGGCAGTTAAACCTCAGTTTTTCGCCACTGTGGGTCACTGGGTCTTATACCATAATGTTTATCTTCTTTTTTATTGCTGATATAGTAGAAAGCATCGTTGAATATGCATATTCGGTCAACTTACAAATAATTGTTGCATTTGATCGTTCATCAACATCATTCCTCTCTTCAAACAGTGTCTTTACACCGAATTTTGCCCAGTTAAAGTATAAATATACAATTATCGACCGCTAAATAATACATTCTTAATCAGCCGGTTAGAGACGCCTAATAGTTAGAGAAGAGTGTCATTAATGAATATTGGATACATGGATGATACAAAGTATTTACCTAGAGGATCACATTACAGTGGAAAGGCAGACATCAAGCACTTCTATTACTATATGGATGCCGAATACGTCAACAACGCTAAGGCTGTGAGCCTAGCTAGTTATATCTGGCTACTTTAACCTTTCCTCATGCGTTCTTCTTGGCCTTTACTTGGCCAAGCTTGAAAATACTCGACCTGGCCTCTTCCTTGTCTAGTCCAGCCCCATTCAACAAGGTACTATCGAATACGTGCCTTGGTCCCACAGCGTCCAAAAACCAAACCATGGAGGCATTAGAACCTTTCCAAATCGAGCCACTCTTTCCAGTGATAATTTCATCTATAACTTCCCGGGCGAACTGAGCCGGCCCCATTTTCTTTGCAAGGTGAATAGTTGTTCGTGCCTTTACAGAATCCTCCACGACGCGGTAAATACTCTCCGGTCCAAAATTGATATTGTCCGCCGACACCAATGGAGTCGATACCTCTCCCATGTACAAGGTTTTGACTTTCAGGCCAAGCAGCTGCAACTAGAGTCGAAGAGTGTCCGAGTAGGATGCTACAGCCGCTTTGCGAGCGTTGTAAGCGGAAGCGAATGGATTCGGGAGGCGCGCTAGGACAGAGGCGGCATAATATTAAACACATTACCAAGCTACAGTGACCCAGCCCATTTTGTCTCAACTCCGCCCACCGCGAACCTTCCGAGATTCTCTGCGTCCGTCATATTCGGGTAAGTTATGTAACCATTCCGTAGCGACTCGAACTAACTTTACAAGTCGGCAAGATAGTTGCTCCATTCCCATCGCAGATTACAGCCTAGCACTGAGGGAATCAACTGGCATGATTGACGAACTATCAAAAGAGACCGTGACTGCGAATTAAGCTGTTACTCTACATCATCGCCTGAGTTTTGGTAATGTGGAGATATCCAATCCCGACACCCGAAAAGCTGCCGCATTGGAAGATCCATTGGTAGGTTTCCAAATCGTTAACTATGCCCCGTATTTGTGAGTTCTACTTGCCGTATGCATCTTGTAAGCGGGTATTGTGGAGCAAGCCGCGGCGCAATTATTGTGCCGTGCCTGGGGTAGTAACCACAATTGAAGTAGCCTATGGAATTCCTGCAGATCACTGACGATAAGGAGGGGCACAACATCATACCTGGATAGAAGTGAGATTAAAGTTAAACCGCGGCTCGGATGATCTCTCATCAAGAATTTTTGATTGTACAGTGGTGTAACAGAAGTATTTGACCTCCGTTACTTCCCTAGCAACAAGTACTCGCGCCAGGGGGCGCCAAACCCCTGACAATATTGGGGCCAGTACACACACACACACACAATTCATTAACGCCCGGCGGCTGAGCCGAAAGGGCAACTATCACTGATCTAAATGTACATGCCTTAGCCAATGCTGTGCCTCCTTGGAGCCCATACAAAATTCCTTTCAGTGTATGTCATCTCAGATGTCAATATCTTAGCGGGTCCTTGTGGGTTAGTGTTGTTAGTAGACTTGCTTGAAGGCGCTTCTCCAAGTGTTCAACATCCTATCCTCGGCAGTTGAAGCGCGTCTACCGTCTCTGGCACAAGGTAGTTGGTGGGGGTTCGATTAGGGTTGAGGCGGGGTAGGGTTAATCTGTGTTGGTCGACGCGGTCAAGCGGTGTCGAGTCGGCCCGTGGCGATTGCAAACCGTATTGTGGCTCGCACTGCTTCCAAATTCGGCTTCCAGTTCTGGTCATCCAAAGGCGATTTTCCGCCTAGGAAAAAAGATATGTTGCCTCGGTGAGTATGGGTACATTGCAGCATTTCCGTCCGGTGTGTGGTCCACCTCTGACATCGAAAGAGGAAGTGCTCCACGGTCTCTCTGGCTTGTCCACATGCGCATTGATCTGACTCTGCGACATTGATTCGATGGAGATATCCGTTGAGTCTAGCCATGCCAGTCCGGAGTTGGGCCAGCGCGCTCGCTTCTTTCCACGATAATCGATCATACAACTGCCGGGTATGTTTTCCTGGGAGTGCTGCATCCACTCGTTTGGAGTGTTTCCCTACATTCTCTGGCAGGCACTTTTTGGGGACTGCTTGGGGTCGTGAGATGTTCAGTGTTGTCGACTTCATCCGTGGGACCTGCGCTTGCGGGGTAGCATCCTCTTGCGTCGCGGCCCGAGCCTGCTCTTTCGCTAGGCCTAGCAGTTGATTACCTTCGCTGGTCGGGACCCAACAGATGCTGATGCGGTTCTCGTGCTTCCGTAGTCTCTTGATCAGCTTGTATGTTTGGCAGATGTGTTCCTGGCCCGATTGTTGTCGAGGATTCTTCAGCGTGAGAGCCGCGGCTTTGTTGCTCGTGAGCAGCGTGACCCTGCACCGTTTCAGTCCCCGTAGCGTGCCCAGTGCGTATGCCATTGCTGCCAATTCGCCGGAGTATGGGTTCTGCTCGGTCCTTGCGCCCAGCGTGACGGATAAAGTTTTCAGCCTCGGTTTTCGATACCGAGGTGGCTGCTTCTCAATCGCCACGCCAAATCCTACCATTTCATTCCGCGCCGAACTGCTGACCGCGATTCGCATGGCTCCGCCCGCTTCGGTCTGTGTCTCCGGTACATCATAACTATCGCTCTGCACCCGTTCTTCCCACGGTGCCAGTGTGAATGGATTGATGGTTTCCAGGGTTTCCATCTCAATGGTCTTCAGCGCGTCGGCGACCTGATACAAAGGCGAACGGTGGTATCTTCTGAATTTCTTGATCTGAGCAGTACTCCTGCGGAGGGGATTAGTTACCGGTAGGGTGTGCATATCGGTCCACATCTTCGCAGCTCGTCTCCAGAGCCGGTGTTGCACCGTGGCGATGTGAGCCTCCGCTTCCGCTACGCTGGTGGCAACTGTGAGGAATGTCCCGACAATCGCTTGCGCTCCTACCCTTTGCACTCTGTTGATCGGCCCGATGTTCTTATTCTTGCATGCGTGCATCCAGACATTGGAGGCATAGTCCACCACCGGGGCCACGGTCGATGTGAATAGCTGCCGCGCTGTTACGGGGGATAGACCCCGAAGCCGCCGAAGCTCCATCGCCGCCTCGAGTCTTTTGGACGCTGCCCTCGCGATATGTTCCCTGTATTTGAGTCTCGTGTCCATTATGACGCCAAGAACCTTGACATGGTCTCTTGGTTCAACGGTCTCTCCCTTGATAGTGAATGGCTCCGAGTCCAACTTGTGCGCCTTGGGGGCGAAGTGTATGATGGCAGTTTTCTCTGCTTCAAAAGTCGCTCCACTTCTTCTTTCCCAGTCGAGTGCTTCATTGACGATTGTTTCAATACCGTGCCGGTTGCTCTGCGCAGTCGGTCCGGTCACCCACGCGGTAAAGTCATCCACGAAGGCAATCGCGCCTCCCTGGCCGTCGAGCTGTCGCTGTACGAGATCTGCGTTGAAGAAGAGGAACAGGATCGGGGACAGGGGAGAACCCTGAGGCAGTCCAGCCTGTGGGAGGCTTTGGGCCTCAGATGCTTGCCCATTGATTTGGATGGTCGCCGTTCGCTCCGAGCAGAACTCTTCGACCCACCGAAGCAGGACCTCCGGTATACCTCGCGCTTTCATCCTCTGGAGCAATCGCTCCTTACAGACCCCATTGTAGGCTCCTTTGACATCGAAGCTGATCAGGCTCAAGACCCGTCGGCCACGCCATGCCGCGTAGATTTGCTCTTGCAAAAGTAAGAGAGCTTGCTCCGCTGACCGCTGCTTACGAGCCCCAAAGTGGCTGGTCGGAAGTGGCCGTAGGTTTCCATCGCGTGTGAGATTCTTTCTGCGATGACTGATTCCAGCACCTTGCCCAGTGTCGTGAGGAGTGAAATCGGCCTCCAGGCCTTCGCAATCGTATAGTTCTCTTTGTTCGGTTTTTTGAGCGGTATGATCTTCGCATGTCTCCACTGCTTGGGCAATGTGCCTTCATCCAGCGACGCTTGGAACAGCTCCAGGACCCCGTGTTTGACCACGGGCCACGTCATCTTCCACACTATCGCTGGTAGGCCATCTTCACCTGGTGCTTTCCAAGACTTTGTCGCCAACAGCTGTCGTTCGACCTCTTCCATAGTGATGGCAGACATCTCCACGGGCGCTCTCTGTGGTCTGGTCCCTTCATCGTCAATTCTGTCCGGCAGTGGCGGGAAGAATTTGGTCAGCAGTTCCTCCGCTTGCTCTTTGTGATCGGCGGTCATAGTTCCATCCGCCCTGAGGAGCTGTGGGACCTTCCCGAATGCTGCATCATCTCCCGACTTTAGGTATTTCGCGGCTTCCCATATATTATCGTTGTCGGCCAGAAACTCATTCCAGTGCTTCTTCTTTTGTTTCCGTATTGCATCGTGGTATTGTTTCGCTGCACTCGCGGCCATGTTCTCCAGATGCGGCACCTTTCGCCCTGCCCGTCGCTCCGAGCGGGCGTGGTTTCTCCAATATGTGTATATCTGGCGGAGTTGTGTTAGGTCCGCCGTCCACCATCGCTTTGCGTGTGGCGACGGTTTGGCCCTCGGCGTCAAAGCATGCACCGCCTCCGACACCACAGACATGAGTCGGTCGGTTTTCTGCTGCACCGTGCCTTCCGACGGGGTGGCGGCGAGCGCCGTCGCAATCCGGGCATTGATTTCCTTCCATGGCGCATTTTTCAGCAAAAGTCGCTCTGGATGTTGTGGAGCCGGCCACGGGGCGTCAAAAACGGTGTCAATGGCGCAGTGGTCCGAGCCGTGCTCTGTCCCATGTATCGCACATTTGACCATAGATTGTGTCAAGTTTTCTGAGGCCAGGACGAGGTCGATCGTGGACTCGCAGTCCCCATTCTGTCCTCCGCCGTGCCATGTCTTGGTGCCTCGTTTGAGTAGGCTGCTAAGAGAAAATTCGTTCATGAGGTCGATGATTGGATCCGCCTCTCCCTGTCTTGTCAAAGACACTTCGTCTCCTCCCCAGAGCTGATCGTGGCGGTTAAAGTCTCCCACGATCATGATCTCCACCACCGTTCCCGCGTCTTGCCGTACCTTACTGATTGCTTTTCTGAGGCGATCACATGCGTCGTCCAACGCTACGGCATCTCCGCCCTCTACGTAGACCGATGCCATAAATATCAGGCGCTCCGGGAGGCGGATGACCGCTGCGGTCAGGTCCGGCGACTCGATCGGCACTTGCTCCGCTTCCACATCCTTATTTACCCACAGCATGCTTCGGATTGCCCATCGGCCCTCCCTCCAAGCGGAGGGAACCATCTTGGTCCATTTGTGATGTGCCATCGGGGTTGTCAGGAGCCGCCCTTGGATTCTCCTCGCTTGGGGTTCCTGAATCGCGAGTGCCACTGCGTCCCGTGTCTCTTCATCGTTCACCAAACTGTCATGCACTGCTCCCTGTTTCCTCACATTCAGTTGAATGATTCGGACGCTTTTATTCATGTCGTGATGGATAGAGTTTCCGACAATTTCTGCTGAACGATTCATGAGGGCCTCCACATGGAACGCACTTCGGAACCGTTTGGTCGCAGCTGCTGTGGCGGTGGCCCTCCGCGGCGCACTTGGCGCACTTCTGGCTGTTCTTGCACTGGAATGCCTTGTGTCCAATTTCCTGGCAATTGTAACATTGCATCGGTCGAGGTCGATACTCGAAGGTGCTGGTCACGCCAGATTCTCCCCCAGCGTGAAAGAACCCGTCAGCCAGGAGCCTCCGTGCGTCAGTGCCTTTGGTTAAGTATACTACCATGGACCCATACGCCTTCGCATTATCCTTTCTGCTGAGCCATGCAATCTTAGCCACAGAAGCTTCATTCTCTTCGCTGAGGGTTGCTGCGGCTTCGGCTCGGATCTCATCTTTCTCGTCTAGCACCGCGGCCTTGTTGACGCTGTCAACTTTGATCGGGTAGAGCTCGTCACGGAGTACCCGGGCTCCCGCGCCGATCTTGGCTTCCGCCACTTTCTTGACCAGGTGGTGTTCATCTTCGTCGCGGCACGCTATTCTGATTCGGTTGGTATTCTTCGGGTCCACGGTGACAGCGCGACAGCGCCAGTGCGTGTGGCCTTCCATCGTCCGAATCTCTGTCTCCACCGCCGCCCGTATTGGGCCTGCGGACATCCTCTCGTTTTCATTTTCTGCCATCTTCGAGGTGTCTATCGTACAATATAACGTGTCGGTGAACGTGGTTGGTGTTGTATTCGATGTTGAGAGCGTTCGTATGTTGCTCGGGTGACTGAGTGGAGGAGTGCGGGCGACATCTGCATAGGACGGGGAGCCAGTGGGAACGGAAGGACTGATGACATCGCGCAGGGATTGAATCTCGCGGAGGATCTCATCGTGACCGTTCTGAGCGCATGCCTGGGCGTGGGATTGCGGTGTCGGGGGTCTATCTGTCAGGGTCTGTAGCTCGTGTCGGACTTCGGCGAGAGCGATGCTAAATTCTTCTTTGACTTTCTGAAGCTCTTCCTTGTGCAAATCATCGCGTCGTCTGATCTCTCGCCTGAGTTTGATGAGCTCCTTCACGAGTGTGGCGGTGTTGAGGTCCTCGCTCTCCGTCGCGGAGTCGTCCGAAGTGACCGCGTCAGGCTGGGTTGCTGGGTTGTCCTGGGTTTTCTTCCTCTGTTGAGAGCGTGTCTTTCTCTGCTCATTGTTGATCTCTTGCTCCCGAGCATAACCATTTGGTGGTCTGGTGGTGCGTCGCGGTCTCGACAACCGTGGCGGTGAATCTTCGTGTTCGTCGCGGTCGGGCGGTTCAGGGGTCCGCATCGCGGTCCGTCCCGCCATTATTGAAAATCGATTTCGTCGCCACGTGGCACGCTCACCCCGTGGAATTACAGTCTTTTCAGGCGTACAGTTCGCTCCCTAGTCGAGATACAGACGCGCTTGATGTCCGGTTTTCGGGGCCAGTACAGCGGATTTCGAAAACAGTTTACCCCCCAGACACATACGCTTTCTTTCCCAGCGCCCCACTCAGAACGCGCTAATCTAACTTTGGCTAGCTCAGGTACCTTTTTTGAGGCGTAACACCGTATTATTGGCTGCGGGGGAATCTGAAACGCAGCGGATCCAGAATAGACGTCCTTGTGGGGCTCTGGGAAAGAAATCGTGTGTGTGGGGGGATTTAAACTGTTTTCGAAATCCTCTGTACATATTAAGTTTGAGAGGCGGTTTCATAGATAACTGGAGTTCAACTTCTACATACCTAAAAGGATCGTCTCCACAAAGGTTTAACTGCAACAGAAAGGTGGTATCCTGTGTTGCCAAAAGGCCTTCTGTAAAGTAATATCAAGGCGGCATAACTGTCCTAATTGGCGGAAGAGGAAACTAGGATATCTCTCTCTATCCGTTTTAGTCTTACCTTGAGGCATTTGTCTCAGACAACGGGAGGTAGGAAACAATTAACTGAACATCTGGCTTACAGGCTCGGCTATACCGATTATGCTCTAAGCTAAGGAAAGCAATCCCCGTCTCTATTAACCTCGCACCTCCTTGCGATATATGTCTACACAGGCCCAACAGTAACCAGCTCAACGATGAAAATTTTCACTTTCGTTACTTTTACGTGTATTCGCCCTCAACCCAAACTTTTGGCGTTAGAGTTAGAGTTTAACATGCCATTTCAACGCCTCCGCGATAAAATACAAGGTCAGCAGCCGCACTTAACACACGACGCCCAGCAACGGAACTATGGGCGAAAATTAACTAAGAGCTTTGGTGCGGTAAATACCTCTACTCAATGCCTCGCATGCTGCGCTAGCGATAGTAATAGTGGGAAGTGTGCAAAGAAGACTTTTTGAAATTATGCTGATCACGTCGGGGAAGAACTCGGTATGACAATTATCGAGCAGATCCGAAAATGTTTGACCTCATCAGGCAGAGACTAGAGGAGGGTAATCGACTACTGGCCCAGACCATTAGCATCATCTAGCACTGGATTGGCATTTAGAAACTGCGGTCCGGAATTCGTGGTGTCATACCGAGGAACAGTACAATTTCTATGAATCTGGCTTCAAAACAGGCCAGAGTTATTCCCCAAGTCATCAATGAGAATAGTTAGAGTTTCAGCTCAACGTTAAAAGAATTACAAATAAATACAGCTACAATGGTAATAATTCTATCGAATACCATATTCCCTGTCGTGCGGCGGTCTTGGGTATGTAAAGTCTGACAGCGCCACTGGGGAATCACGTACACGGAAGAAAGAGAGAAACAGCTCATTTGGAAAATTAAGCTTTTCGTGAACGGCAGTGCTGCGGGCGAGTGACCGGCGATCCTTGGCCTCTCGATTCCTTCCTACACTGTAAACTCTCAGCACTCTCAACTCTGTCTGCCGCCCAAGTCTACCCACACTGCCCTCCGTGCCATTGGCCGCTACTCCTTCAGAGATAAATGGAGTTTCTCAGCCCCATTTTTCGTTCCTGTCTTTTTTGCCCCTTTTCTTCCCACACGTCGCTCGCTACCCTCGAAGCATTTCTGCTGTTGTCTTCAAGTATTTCGTCCCACTTTAGTCATTCTTTGACAACTATGGACAATATTCAGGTCTTTTGACTCATAAATTCCGCGTTTTCTGCAGTCAGCCGGGCGAAGTACTGGAAACTCTATGCAAGAACTCCACATGGCTTGATCCCACCGAATGTGGCGGGAGTGTTTGAATACCAGGATTTCAATCTAAACAACGCAACCTGTGAGCTCCAGCCAAAGCTGCAACTCCACATGTGCATTTATATAAGTTTCACATTGACGGAATAAAGGGATGCGGTGGGGGAATAAGTACCCCTTTGTTCTCGGTTAAATCGGCCAGGAATTGTCCCTCTCTCACTTGGTGTCGTTGTCTCTGAAGGTTGTGCCAATAATTCAGTCCAGGAACAATATAAGGCCGACATTGTGACTCTGGCTATCTCTCCCGGATTTTTTTGCCCCTGAGTTTGATTTGTACGGCCCAGTAGGTCCCCAATTCTGATGGATTACGAAACCAACGAACAACTTATAGCCTGGATGCTCCGGAAAATTTCTCCGTCTCTTATTGTCAACTCACCGGTCAGTATGGCTCCCTCTTGTGTTATTTCCTAAATCTGAGTGGCGTTATAAGGGTCTACTTGGGTGCTTTCGCGGCTTTGTGTTCCAATGCACAGAAACCGAACGACAGATCCTCTTCAGCTCGCCATCATATCAGGAAGGGGCAGCTACCATGGCCTTGGAAGTAGAAAGGTCCATGGAATCTTGTCAACAAGGTTTTTCGCTTGATATCACCCCCTTCATAGCTGAAGCTGCATCAAGCCCTGTTGTGGTTGGTCTGGAACAGAGGACTTGTTTCCCTTCCACTCCAGAGGAATCGGAGACACCCAACTTGTCGCTGGTTGCTTCTGAATTGTCTCCATCCGTTTCCTCCCGGCCAGACTGGGTGATTGAGACTGGCTCTACTGATGCGGCCTATGCTCCTCTGGAGAACCATACAAATGCGGCGGCTTTCTTCAGGGCAAGATTGGGGTCTCGAAACTCAAGGGCAACCTATCTAGCCCGGGCGCTCCAGGGCTTAATCAATGCCATGGAACTCGATGGAGCGACATACGCGAATCTTTGGTCCACTCGGGAAAGGATTTTCTCTGGCGTTGGTACAAGTCCAGTCGCTCGCTTTCAGAGACTGTTCCATGGTTTTCTTCGGGTGAAGCGTGGCCGCGATGATTATGATTGTGCAAATCGCCTCTGTCACATATTCTTGGATCATGATCTTGAACAGTTGGCGACCTCTGACCTCCTCCGCTTATCCCGTGGCCGTGGCAGAAAGTCTGCCGCTTTGTCTTTGCAGGCAGCAAGCATATCAGCCTCCATAGGCGCTGTGAAAGCCGATCGTAAGGCTGGCCAAAGGTACATGCAAATTCTGATGGATGCCGGCCCGGGGCTATTGCTCATGCTTGGTAGCCAGATAAACACAGTGTAAGTGTCTTGTATGCCTTCCAGACATTTGCAAGAAACTGACTAGATCGAAACAGGTGGGAAAGAAAACTAAGTAAGGGAGATGTCTCTCTTCTATTGGAATATCTCAGGTTGCAGCGGCCTGAAATCCTGGAGAAAGGCTGCTCACTGGATAAGGTGGCAACAGCATTGATTCTTCAGGGTCTCTTAGCGTATGGCTGGACGTACAAGGAACTTTCCGAACGCCCGTCTAGAGTGGTGAACCGACTGCGCTCGTACATCGATGTTGCAGAACTAGCATCACGGCATGATATAGATGCTATCGCTCTTGATCACCCCCTCGGTTGCACCTTACTCACGCCGGTCAGCTATGACGGAGATAACACTCCGGATAACGCACAGCTAAAGTGCTTCAACTCTGCATCCTGTCAGGCTCATGAAACACACCAGCACCTGTTTCACTTAAACGTAACAGACCCTCCATCGCAGATGGGCGAAACAATATCACGGAGTTGATCGCTGATGATTCACCAGAGACGATGCCTCACTGGTGCGACGCTACTTAGGAAACCATACCTTTTTCCAGCTAGCCTTCTTTCGCGCAAGCTGTGCCCTGGACTTCTCTACGTATGTAAAAGTGGAATTGTAAATTGCAAAGACACTATAGCAATGACTTCCTTTGTCCGTGTCGGGACATATCCTTCAGCCAGAATAAGCAGAGACATGTTGTACGTAATCTTGCTAAGCTGCGGCTCCCGCCGTATGGATTCAGGGGCATTGGACCACGACCTGGAATACACATCTATCTACATGAATCAATCAACTTTCGCTTTAGGAGCATGAACACTGTTCACTTAACTGTGTACACGGTACCTAGCTGGAGATACCAACAAGAATAATGAACGTTCACATTTCACTTTACTAGAAACGGGTGCAGTCTGTCATTGGAATAGTAGAAACTTGTGCGTTGCCTACAAAATGCTTGACAATCTCGCAAGCTCGGATGGAACAACGCTCTATCTTTGGGAAGGTTTGGTAATCGTTACGCACGTATTCCCTTTCTGAAAACACTCAGACACCGATACAGAAAGAAATTAGATCCTAGATATTAGCTCTAGTAGCTTATCGGTATGTATTTTACCTGTCACGACTGAGTCCCTGTTGCCTTGGAATCATGTCTCCTGGCTACACGTGTAATTCGGATCATTGTATGCCAGAAATAGTTTTCGGTTGGAATTCGGAATTATGGTTATAACAGCATTTCAAAATACACATATTTATCAATCCTCCTATACTGGTTGAAAAACTTCTATTTCGTCCTGAATCTAAGTCTTATTCCAAAAACTCACTGGAATGTATCAGTCGTAGTGATTACTCCAGGCGTAAAAAATCGACTTCGCAGCCTATCGTCCGAACCCTCATTAAACCATATAAACTTATTCGTATCTTTCTGCACCGACAGACATTATGCGGTCCTCCTTGGATAATGTACTCTTGGCTGACGAGCGTTTCCAGGGACATTCTATGACGAAAACCGCCCGGAGGCAAGAGCATGAGGCGACACATCGACAATGTTTGGATGTGATGGACCAGATTCAAGAAGAGTTTGAACTAGCTCTTGGGAAAATGGACCATGAAATATCCCATCAATCTCAGTCGATGTAGCGTCTACAAGCGGCAAAGGCCGAAGAGTCTTCAAAATTACAGCAAGCTCTCGCAGCAAAAGACAAAGCCTTGGAGGAGAACCAGAGGCTTGAAAGAGAACTCTGCCATATCAAGCAGCAGCGTGAGTCACTTGACGCCGCCACGCAGGATCAGATCTCAAGGAACGATATTCAGCCGGCCTTGCATCAGACGCACTGTGAGCTGGT